GAAAGCACGGAGCACGGAGCACGGATCCACGATGAGCACTGAGCACCAAATCGAAAGCACGGAGCACGGATCCACGATGAGCACCGACCACCAAAGAGAGAGCACAGTGCGAGAGAGAGAGAGAGAGAGAGGCACCCGTAGAGCACCGACCGGCGAGCACATGCGCACCGACCACGGAGCACACAGGCGCACGTTGAGAAAGGCAGACGAAGTGCCGGGCGATCGGAGAAGTGGCCATGGGCGGCAACAACATTGTGCGCGGGCCATTGGAGGGGTGCGCCGGCAACGGAAAAACGGGCACGCGGGCGATTCGGCGCTTCCGGTACCAAACGCCGACCTTGGAGGAGTAGGGGGGTGGGGCGCGGCCACGATTACGGGCCGACGGGCTGGATGATGGGCGGGCGAACGAGCGGGCGGAGGGGTGGCCCACGATTCGAGGGGTGGGCGGGCCTGCAATTTGGCGCCTCCGGTAGTGACATCGCACGGCCCGAATCGCAGGCCGGTAACACGCCGCGGACGGCCCAGATTGCAGGCCGATCAGAAAACTTTCTGATCGGCCTGCGATCTGGGCCGTCCGCGGCGCATTACCGGCCTGCGATTCAGGCCGTGAGATATGACGTTTAGCAGTTCTTATAGTAGGTGTAGACAACCGAAGATTTACGATTATATTTTGTTAACTGTTCGTATTTTGTTTGTTTCATCAATATGTTCTCAAAGTACCAGTCTTCATGATCTTCTTAATAGAATCAAAACGTATTTCAGTAAAAGCCTTGAGGCCTACGCATTGAGACACACTCGCCACCACCTATTCGGAAGCATCTAAACAGTGGATGGGAAACTGTGTGATTGTGTGACCTCCTTTCCCCACCTCCAATCGGCTAGAAAGTTAGAAACCCATTGCTTTGGTCTCTGCTGATAAGAAACAGTGTGACTGTGTGTGTGACCTACTTCCCCACCTCCCGGATATGAAACCCAGAAAATGTTCAACATCCACCACATACCAAGAAAACAATGGGTTTCTGGTTTCAATGCAAGAAGCATCCAGCCCAATTCCATACCGCAAAATACCGTACCTACTTCAGCTGCTAAAGGCTTTAAGATGTTAAAACGGTTGGACGTTTTTGAACAGCTCATCAACCAACAGCACAAGAACAATGAGTGCACAAAAGGGGGTCTTTTTGTACCTAAAGAGAAAGTGGAGAGCAAAAATAACAACAGGTGGGAGGCCATATCCAGCAACACAGAGCCCAGATTTGTCAAAGAAGGAGGGGGAATCAACAAGAAGTCGAAAAAAGGAAAACAAGAAATAGCCTCAAAAAGGCCTATGTTTTGAACCCCATAAAACAGAGGTAGAAGAGAATCCAAGAGAACATGTGTCCATGAGAGAAAGAAAAAGATGAGTGGGGAGAGTTATGAAGGCATATAGGATGGACAACGGAACGAGCCAGCGACAGTGTAGGAAGATGAAAGGGATGAGAAGGTAGCAAGGGGTGGGGAGGAGCAGCCACGTGCAGGTCGTGTGGAAGTGAAAGAAAGCCAGACTGCTACAAGGGAGGGAAGGAGAGCAAAGAAGACAACGACCCCATGGAAGAATGAGAAAGAAAGGAGAGGTTGTAGGCAAACCAGCTGAAGAAGCACACAGTACACGAGTTACACACCTCCACTTTGAATGATATTCATGGTCACCTCCGCGCCAGACAGCTGCGAGGGAGAGAGTAGAACAAAGACAACGGACCCCCTGGAAGAATGAAGAAAGGGACGAGGCCAAAGAGAAAACACCTTGAAGAAGCATACAGTGCAAGGGTAACACACCAAAAGAAAAAGAAAAAGAAAAAGAAAAAGAAAAGGAAAAAGAAGCGGAAGAAGAAGAAGAAAAAAAAAAAACATACCTCCACTCTGAATGGTGTCATGTTCACCTCGACTTCCTCAGCATCCCGTGGGTAGTCGAGATTGTATATTTCGAGAAGCGTGTCCCACTGAGGGGCCAGGAAATCTCCCCCCCTCAACATGGAATTTTGGAATTGCTTTACAACTGCTCCTGGGTAAACAAGCACCTTAAGGAACCATAGCGGCACATACGGCACAGTGTACAACTGTGTCGCGACCACTTCGATGGGACTCGTACAGATATAATCGCGGCACGGTACTCTGCATGCACACAAAAACAGAATAGTTAACTGAGTACTCGAGCCAATCGGAGTTCGGACACGTCAAAAAGAAATAGAAAAAGCATGGCACGCGATCTAAGTTACCAGAGTGGCCACCCGGGACCACTTGCCCGGCCGGGCCAAAAATAAATAAAAAAACTAAAACTACATATATACATCGTCAAACAGAGCTGCCCGGTAAACCGTAGGCAGAGAGGGAGAAGAGTATTCTGTTTGTGACGATAGATATATATATCGTCACAAACAGAACTGCCCGGTAAAACCGTATATATATATATATCGTCACAAACAGAACTGCCCGGTGAAACCGTAGGCAGAGAGAGAGAAGAGGACAACAAACGAGGGGCTGTATATATATTGTCACATTGTGAATCAGAGCGCAAAAAAGGGAAAAGAAAAAAGGAAAASGAAAAAAGGGAAAGGGAAGGAGGTAAGGAAAGCTCCACCTGTTCATAACCTCTTACGTACAAGGCCAGCCACGTGGATGACAGGTTGAGCGCTGGCTGCCCCCATCCCCGTGTGTCACAAGGACCCACTTGCACGCAGCCAAAAGGCAAAGAGGT